AATGCTTTTCACTTATTCTTTAGGTTGTGGCTTTGTCATTTGTTTTTGTTTTGAGATTATTTTTTTGTTTGAGATTTGTTTTGAGATGACAAGTGTTGTCAGTCTGGGAATGTTTATTTTTACCATATGTAAATCCAGTAAAAAAGGTAAATCTGGATTCTGATTAGAGTGGGTTAATTTTTATTACCATTGAGATGTGGTCCTCCTCTGTGTTCCTCAGTCCCAGAAGGAGCAATTGGAACTCTATCGGCTCTTCAGAGAGAGATCAAGTGTTCCTGGAGCCAGTGCACGGGACGTTTTGAAGCACAAGCAGCCTGTTTACTTCTCTCAAGAACCACCAAAGCTCTTTAAAGTGCCTTCAGGCTTAAATAACCAAAAAAAGGCATATTTAAGATAAATAAGTACTCTGATTAAGAAACTGATCACCCTCAGTTTTGGGAAAATGTACGCTGAGAACTTTTTTTTTTTGTTCTTTCCTTTATTTGAAAAGCTGGGTTTTCAGCTGAAAAAAATAGAGAAACATTTGAGTGGGTGCTTGCAAACTGAACAGTATTTATCTCATGTTTTCTTCTACGTAAGAATAGAACTAATTATAAATTAAACATTTCGAGTGTGTTTGAGGGACCTGTTCTGACAATTAAGTTTTCTTCTAACTTAAAACACAGCATAGATCTAATCTTGCAGCACAAAGATAGTTCCTCTGATGTGATTCTCTATTTAAGTAGCGTCATATTCTTTGTTCATGGCTATTGGAATTTAATTATTAGCAGAACTTTGAGGAGGTTCATTACTATTGCAAGGGGAGTCTTTCTACACCAAGCACTCTGTATTACAGGGTTAAGTCCTCAACCCCCCCAGTGATAGTAATTTTTTTTTCAGTGCAAAGCAAAAATCTAAAGCCTGTGTATTGTGCAAACTGAATCTTGCTAATGAAACAAAGATGGACTTATAAAAGATCTTTTTTTTAAGTATAGAAAATTTGCTAAGTTTCACTTTTTTTTTTATTTCAAGAAATATTAGTTGCATCCCAAAGCTGAAAAATTTTTGTGGTTGGTCTGGTTTAATGTTTAGTTATATGTATTTCTGATTTATATGAAGTAGTTGTAGAACCAGCATCTCTCTGTTCTGGAGCAGTGTCAGTGTTCCAGCTTTATGCGGTGATTTTTTTAGTGGTTTTGTGGTTTTTTTTGTTGTTGGTTTGCTTGTTTCCATTTTTGGGGGTTTTGTTTTTATTGATACACGGGCACAGATAACAAGTATCTGTTAACTTCTGTATAATTTAATTGGTGTATAAAGTAAGAATACATTTACTCCTGTCTAGTTGTAGACATCAGTTCTGTCAATATGCATCTGAGCTATGCCACGGTTGCTACCTTTGTACTTCTGCTTTGTAGCCTTATGCAACCTGAGTCTTATCAGCATCCATTACTTTTTATTATTTTTAAATTTATTGGGATGGAAACACTAACATGATAGATTTATTTTTCTCTGCAAAGTCTTGATCCTATCTGTTTCTATGTGTGCTTCTTTTTCATTACTTGTACAAATTAGCTTGTAATAAATTCTGTAGTAACATGAAAGCTTAATCCTTTGATAGACTAGAAGAAGCAAAAATTAGTCACATCAATGCAAATGCAAATTGAGTCAGCATAGGAGTAAACTGGAGAGTACCAGCTTATGGGACTAGTCAGTGATTTTTTATAATAGCTGTTACATTGGGAATTCACTATCTTAGTATAGCTGAAATTTAAAAAAAAAAAGACTCCTTTATCCTTCTCCACCTTCTGTTCTTTGATGGTGTTGGGTACATCAGAATTAATGAAGCAGCTAGCAATTAGTTAATGCCAAGGTCTGTGAAAGACCAGTCTTTAATGATGGTTGATCATCAGGCACTGGAGGATTTTGGAGCATTTGGCATGTACCTTGTAGAAGGGAAGGAACAGAGAGAGAACCATCTGACCTGGTGGAAGCAGAGCCAGCAGATGCGCACAAATCCTGAGCCTTCGCTAATGAATGCAAATGAAAACCTATTATTTTTGACTGCTCCACGGTGACTCTGATCAGGCCATAAAGGTCCAAGATACCACATATTATTATCAATTGAACTTTCTTTATGCTCTGCTTTTTTGATTCTTTCTCTTGCAGTCCTCCTTGAATATTTTGCAATCAGTGGTACTATCTACTTTGAATTTGATGTGCAGTGTGGTCGCCGTCCCTTCGTTATCTGTTCATGAAGCTGTGACTGTAGGACATGACAATTCTTTTTCTCTTCTCCACTGCTCTGTGTTTAGCCCAGGCTTTTGGGAAGGAGCTTGGAAAATGCAGTGACTCTTTGCTGTTGCAGTGATGTATTACTCGGGGTGGATGAGAGAGAGATAGAAGAAGAGGTGGAGACAGCAGTTACAGGGGTGGAAAAACAGAGTCAAGAGTCAAACTAACTATTCCAGCCTATTTGGATTCCAAACTATTTGGGTTTCCTTCCTGGATAAAAAAAAATAAAAAAAAAGACAGTTGATTCCCCCAACCCCCTTCACTTTTTTGGTAAAAATTATTATATTACAGCTAAATTTGACATATATGACCTAGTGGTTCTGTCATTGAAGTACACGTACACATACAGAAATCTATGCCCTTTCTTGCTTGAGAGCTTTATACTCTAGAGTGACAGTAGCTAATATATTTTTTTTTAATTTTTATTTTTTCCCCCTCTACTTTAGATCCCTGCAGCTCCCTCAGCCCACCGTGCTTCACTGAGGAGGACCGGTTCAGCCTAGAAGCTCTCCGCATGATCCATAAGCAAATGGATGATGACAAAGATGGTGGGATTGAAGTAGATGAAAGTGATGAGGTAGGATTAAAAAGCCTTGACTTGTGCATACATAATGTCTTTTTTTTTTTTCCTGCCTGTTTTGTATAGCTGCTCTTTATGTTCCAGCTCTTGAGTAGTCATTGCTGTTTTTCGTAATTTGACCAAATATGGAAGGAAAGTCTAATTTCTAGAATTGTCTGAATATTACTGTCCGTTGCTTTAGCCTAAAGGAAGATTTTATATGACTATGTACAAAAGCTGTTATTTTTGTGATTAGGGTAAAAGGTAGACAAATGGTGTTGTTTTAGCAATGAGGTGACCTGATCTGCCACCTGGTGTTTTTGTTTCTTTTTCTCTAAGGTTTTCTTGCTCAAAGATATCTCTGGGCTTTGCCGTTTACATTAGATCCGTTCCAGGCACCTCATGGTGCAAAACAATCCCTGTTACAGGCAGCAGTCACGAAAGCTTACATAGGTGCTTCTGTTTACATACTGCAGGCAAGTAATTAGGCAAGTACTTCCTAGAATCATCTAGGTTGGAAGGGACCTTCCTAAAGGAAGATTTTATATGACTATGTACAAAAGCTGTTATTTTTGTGATTAGGGTAAAAGGTAGACAAATGGTGTTGGTTTAGCAATGAGGTGACCTGATCTGCCACCTGGTGTTTTTGTTTCTTTTTCTCTAAGGTTTTCTTGCTCAAAGATATCTCTGGGCTTTGCCGTTTACATTAGATCCGTTCCAGGCACCTCATGGTGCAAAACAATCCCTGTTACAGGCTGCAGTCACGAAAGCTTACATAGGTGCTTCTGTTTACATACTGCAGGCAAGTAATTAGCAGTAGTACTTCCTAGAATCATCTAGGTTGGAAGGGACCTTTCAGATCATCAAGTCCAACCGTCAACCTAACACTACCAAAACCACCACTAGACCATGTCCCTCAGCACCACGTCTACCAGTCTTTTAAAGACCTCCAGGAATGGTGACTCCCACCGCTTCCCTGGGCAGGCTGTTCTGATGTTTTAGCCATCCCTGAAGTTTTCTTTTTGTGATTGTGTTTGATGACTTTGGTAGGTGGGCTCCTGGTGGTCCCGGCAAAGGATTTGCCCTCACATGACTCAACTTTACCACCAGGATTCTCAAAATTGAGGTGGGCTCCTGGTGGTCCCAGCAAAGGATTTGCCCTCGCATTTACTCAACTTTACCACCAGGATTCTCAAAATTGCTGGGTAGGGAAGGAAATACCCATGTAGTTTTGTTGTTCTTGCTGCTGCTCTCTGGCAGCTGTCAGGTACAGGCTTGAGAGAGCAAGGGGAGTGATGATGTCCCCTCATAGAATCGTAGAATGGTTTGGGTTGGAGAGTGATGACGTCCCCTCATAGAATCATAGAATGGTTTGGGTTGGAAGGGACCTCAAAGATCATCTAGTTCCAACCCCCCTGCCATGGGCAGGGACACCTCCCACTAGAGCAGGTTGCTCCAAGCCCCATCCAGCCTGGCCTCATCTCCTGTCCCTTCAAAATGAGGGTAGTGCCGTGCGGTTCTGAAGCCCATTCTAGCTGGAGGTGAGCAGGAGAAGAATCTAGCCCTGATTACTCATTTTTGGTCAAGTCTTGGTGAAAATTGTTATCCCTGAATGAGTTGGGAGAAGAATCTAGCCCTGATTTCTCTCTTTTTGGTAACATCTTGGTGAAAATTGTTATCCCTGAATGAGTTAAATTATGAAATATCATTGTCAAATTTAATGTGATGCTTCTTATTTTTCTGTGTGACCGTGTACAAGCACCCTCAATAGTGACGCTTGATTGATAAAAATTTTCTGAAGGAACACTGTACAATGGAGAGACTAATCCAGAATAAAATAATGTACTTTTTGCCTTCAGAGGAAAAAATACGAGTGACGCTTGGTTGATAATTTTCTGAAGGAACACTGTACAATGGAGAGACTAATCCAGAATAAAATAATGTACTTTTTGCCTTCAGAGGAAAAAATAATCTGCTCTGTACCGTAAGGAATGTCGTGGCTGGAAATAGTCCAGCTCTGATATAGCAGAATGTTTGGTTATTGTTGTTCATGTTTGGGACAGGGACAATCCAGTCTGCAAACTGGAACATTAGTAATAGAGCGTGAGCTTCCTGAAGAGCTTCTCAGCATGGTGTGATTCTCCTGACTTGTGCTGCATTTGTTAAACATGAAATTTAAGAAAGTGAAAAGAAAATACGGAAATATTTATACATGGGAAACTTTTTATTGATATTCAAAAGATCTGTCCTGGTTTCTAGTGGTTTTATACCTGACCTTAAGTTTCTTTCTGTTCCAGAGGAACGTCAAGATAAATCATAGAATCATAGAATGGTTTGGGTTGGAAGGGACCTTAAAGATCATCCAGTTCCAATCCCCTGCCATGGGCAGGGACACCTCCCACCAGACCAGGTTGTTCAAAGCCCTATCCAGCCTGGCCTTGAACCCCTCCAGGGAAGCAACAGAAGCTACTCTTAAAACCTGTTAAAATGACTGGAATTAGAACAGTTCATGGTGGGTGCTCTTACAGCTGGGGTAACGAGTGATGAATTAAACTGTATATTCCGACTACTGACTCTGCATAAAATAAGATGACTGAAATGTAGCCCTTTTTTCTGCAAGCTCATTTTTAATTATTGAAGAAGTATTTAATAAAAAACCCCTCTAAATTAGCTTTTTCATACATACAGTTTCCATGCAAAGCAGTGATGAATATGTATTCGCATAGAGTGCTTTCTTCTAAGACATTAAAAGCAAACCTGAAATTAATGAGAAATGCAATTTAATTGCAAGTTCAACCAGTAAGCTGTACGTTCTTGGTGTGGCACTCTTACTGGATTACCATAATCTCAAAAGATCTGACATTTTAACAACATAGTTATGTAGTTGCCTGATTACAGTAGGTCTGAATGTATATTAAATATGTCCTAATATACACTGTTTCAAAAGATTTTTTTTTTCTGTCACTGTGGTTAACGCTGCTTGTTTTGATTAGGAACGAGGACTGATAATTTAAAAAAAAATAAAGTTTTTTAGAAGTAAAGCCCACATGAAAAACAGGGATTTCACTTAACAGCAGGGCAGTGGATTTCCTGTTTGGTGCCGCGTGGTTTTTGCTCGCAGGATTCCCTGTTGAGCAGTATATTGAGGACTTTGATTAGATACTCATCGGCTTTTTATTTGGCAGGAAAAATGTGACAAAGCACAAAAACCTTCTGCTGTTTCACCAGCACTAAAACAATGTTACGAATTACAAGTATATATTTACACCAAGGAAGGAAGTTCTTGTAAATAAGTTATTTTGAGAGGGGAAGGTAACAAGAGCTGAAGATGTTGAACTATTTATTTGAACTATTTTAATTTGCTAATCCAGCTGAGAACTCCCAACAGCAATTCCAGGCACTTCATCTGCACAATGTTATTTTTCCTAATGTTCCTTATGCCCTGTTTTATGTTGTAGTTTGTTTTGCCTTTGAAAAATGAAGTCTCACATAAAATCATTCTGCGGAGAGAGACTTTCTCTCAGATATAAGGAAATTTGAAATTTTATAAGAAACTTAAATTCTTCAAAAATTGTCTGATACTTGGAAGCTTTTTGGATCTGCCTTGGTGTGCAGCGGAAAGAAGCTTGTATTTGACCTTGGTGAAATTGATGTGGGGAAACTTGATCTAAATTTTTAGCACGGGATTTGTTAGTCATTGAAAGACATGGGGGATTTGTTGAGGTCTTCTGAGGAAGAGAGAGGGGCTCTAGTTTGAGGAGGGACTGGTTAGACAGGTTATTTTTTTTCTTATTCTTTGGTTTGTTTCCTAGGTTAGACTAAATGGTATAATTTAGGAGATTTATAAAGATTAAAAAATGTGAATTTTAAAATTTATTAGAATATGCTTTTCTAGTTATTATATAATACTTGGAAATAAGAGCTTTTGTCATAGCTGCTTGTGTGTTTGAATGGTTTTTTTAGCTCAGGAGTCACATAAATTTCTAATACTTGCCCTGATTTTTAATATAGAATTATGTACTTCAAGTAACATAACTTAAAGCAAAAATGGTTTGGATACTAACTTTTTGTCGAACTTCAGAGGATACTTTACTGTGCAGTTATTGATTCCTGTAAAATAGGCTACCCCAGTGTGAAAGCAGAGGATATGGTGTGGATACAACAGAGAAGAGAAATAAGGATGTGGAAAAACTCTATACTTACTCTTAGGCAAGTCTAATATGAATTTCTCTATCAAATCTAGCTCCTGCTATTGTTGATTTCTTATTAACATACAGAAGATTGTGATTGTTTAAACTGGTTTCAAGAGGTAGACTGTGAAAGGGTAAGTGAAAGGGAGAGTGTATTGCTAATTGAGCTTTTAGTCATGTGCTGTGGGAGGTTTTTCTGCCTCAGGAAGCATCTGTTGCACCATGTGGACATGATTTGTTTTAATGATGAAGACACACAAGCAGAAAGACAGACTTATCATATGCTCCCTATTTACATAGGTTTTTCCTAATGTGAATTTTAAAATTTATTAGAATATGCTTTTCTAGTTATTATATAATACTTGGAAATAAGAGCTTTTGTTGTGAATTTTTATATTTATTAGAATATGCTTTTCTAGTGATTATATAATACTTGGAAATAAGAGCTTTTGTCATAGCTGCTTGTGTGTTTGAATGGTTTTTTTAGCTCAGGAGTCACATAAATTTCTAATACTTGCCCTGATTTTTAATATAGAATTATGTACTTCAAGTAACATAACTTAAAGCAAAAATGGTTTGGATACTAACTTTTTGTCGAACTTCAGAGGATACTTTACTGTGCAGTTATTGATTCCTGTAAAATAGGCTACCCCAGTGTGAAAGCAGAGGATGCAACAGAGAAGAGAAACAAGGAAGGATGTGGAAAAAGTCTATACTTTTAGGCAAGTCTAATATGAATTTCTCTGTCAAATCTAGCTCCTTATATTGTTGATTTATTGTTAACATACAGAAGATTGTGATTGTTTAAACTGGTTTCAAGAGGTAGAC